CTTCTAAACTTCTCATTCTTTTTCCTAAATTTTTGTATTTATTTTAATACATAAAAAGTAGTGGGTTATAACCAACCCTATCACTAGGCAAATTTAAAATTTAAACTTTTCCACTATCTATTTCATAAACAGTTTGTTATTTATACTTTAAATCCTTTTTACTCCTTAATTAAAGACAAATCTCATTTGTAAGCTATTTTAATACAATTTTACATTTTTATAATTAAGAAATACTTTAATTTTACATTTTTAGTATCAAGAAAAGGAATAAGTAGGAAAAGGACAAAAAAATTAAATATGAATAAATATAGAAGAGGCATTTTTGTCCTAAAACATAAAGGAGACAAGCAAAGTGTCCATTTATTGAGTTGAGAGAGTAAAATGCAACTAAATGTAAAGTTAAGGGGCTCCTATATATTACCGCTCCTACAAATCCTATAATCATGCTCACATTTTCCCCACATTTCCCCCACCTTTCCCACTCCACATTTCTAAAACAAAAACCGACAACTACTAAAATTTTTTAAAAAATTTTTAAAAAATTCTTTTAAATTTGCACACATATAAGGTGTGCCGTTCTCACCGGTTTTAAATAGCATGTGTTCATAAATAACATATACTTTGTTATAGCATACCTTTTATGATCATTATTTTCCTAATAACGTAAGGTAAAAAAGATAAAAATAAATAAAGAATGTTTTAAAATGATTAAAATTAATATCTAGATAAAAATAGCAAAGAGAAGAAAATATTTGATTATATGAGAGAATGATGAAAAATATCAAGAAAAGGAGGAAGTAGGAAAAGGGCAAAAAAATTAAATATTAATAAATATAAAAGAGGCATTTTTGTCCTAAAACATAAAGTAGACGGACAAAGTGTCCATTTATTGAGTTGAGGAGGTAAAGTGCAACTAAATATAAAGTTAAGGGGCTCCTATATATTACCGCTCCTACAAATCCTATAATCATGCTCACATTTTTTCCACATTTCCCCCACATTTCCCACTCCACATTTCTAAAACAAAAACCAACAACTACTAAAATATTTAAAAAATTTTTAAAAAATTCGTTTAAATTTGCAAACATATAAGGTGTGCCGTTCTCACCAGTATTAAATAGCATGTGTTCATAAATAACGTATTTTTGTTATAGCATACCCTTTATGATCATTATTTTCCTAATAACGTAAGGTAAAAAAGATAAAAATAAATAAAGAATGTTTTAAAATGATTAAAATTAATATCTAGATAAAAATAGCAAAGAGAAGAAAGTGTTTGATTATATGAGAGAATGATGAAAAAGGGCAAAAAAAATTAAATATTAATAAATATAGAAGAGGCATTTTTGTTCTAAAACGTAAAGTAGACAGGCAAAGTGTCCATTTATTTAGCTAAGGGGTAAAGTGCAACTAAATGTGTTGGTACAATTTTTTAACCTTTTTTTATTTATCCTTTTATTTTCATTTTTTCAATAATCTCAGCACTGTGCGTAGCACGGGCATTCATGCTAGTTTACTAGTAACGATGATGGAGTCGAACATTCCATATAGGCGCACTTTTGGCGAATATGAGAAGTGGGATTTACGGGCTGCAAGAAAGGTGTGATTAAAAGTAATAGGATGGAAGCAAAGAAGAGTTAAGTATTGTCATGTTTTTTTAGTGTAAGTGGCAGCATAGTTATTAAACCCGCCCGGCCCGGCGATCGAACCGGTCATTGGACCGGGCCGGGTTTGGAATCAGATCGTTTGTGCAAAGAGACCGTTGACTTAGTCAACGACCCGGGTTAAACCGAAAACCCGGCCGGTTTTGGCCGATTTTGTCACTAACCAGATTTTGTGGAAAAATTATATTGCTATTGTTGGAACTCGAACTTTAAACCTCTGCCCCAACACTACCGCCTGCTTACCACCAAACTACTTCCAAATATGTTGATATAGTAGCTTTATTATGATATATAAATGTTTTTTCAATTCTATCTTTTTTTCTCTAAAACAAATTTATTTGGAATCTTTTAATAAAAATTTATTACCCTCCAAACTCTATAAGTTATAAAATGGATTCCAAAAATAACATATTACATAATTCATTTAAAGACAAATATTATTTTTAATAATTTTTTACACTTAAAATTCATAAATAAGCTAGATAATTACACTAAATATAAATAAAATTTTACACTTGAAGTTTGGTATATTAATAAATAACTTTATATTTGATTGATTCTTATATGAATTAATTATTTTATAACAAATTAAATTAAATGAGCTTTTGTTATGGCATTATTTATTACAATTTATATCATATATCTTATATAAATAATTATGAAATATAATATTTATATATATGTAGTGACCCACTGGTTCAACCACTCACCCACCGGTTCAACCAGTAACCCGTTGACCCACCTCCTTCGCCGGGTTCCTTCCCGGATTGGGTTTAATAACTATGAGTAGCAGGTCTCGAACTTGAAAATATGTCCATCCCACGTACCATCCAAATCATCCATTCCTCTCTAAGTTTCATCTATAGTACAAGTTAAGGTTTCACGAACATTTCGAGTTCGGTTCATTTGAGTGACAAAAAAGATTGATTGTATAATAAATAAATCAAAGTTGAACACGATGTTAGGTTCATTTAATAGTCGAGACGAGCACGACCCTATTCACAAACTATTCGAATAGTTCATGAACACGTATATAATGACAACGAATAAATGAATAGCAATATTAGTATATTTTTAAATATACGATATATATGTCTTGTTTGAATAAAAAAATGTAATTATACATGAAATGAATATCATTTAATTTGTTAAAAAAATAAGCATAATTATGAATTTATTCTAAATCACAAGTGATCTTTAAAATGCATAATTAAATAGTTTTCAAAATGAAATTGGAGTTAGAGCTGAAGCTTGAATTCAATTGATTTAATTTAAAAAATTGACAATGAATTTGAAGTGTGACATATATACAAATTATTGAAGGCAATTCGAGCAACATTTATAGGTCATTTAATATTCAATGAAGGATGAATAATGTTCATATAATATGTGAATAGATCTTGAACATCATGTAATTGGATGGATTTGGCTTGTGGAAAACATATTATACAAGTATAATAAAAGTAAGAAAATTTGTGAAACTAGTAAAATTAAATGGTAGAGAAACAGAATGGAAAGTAGATGAATGATCGCTTGGTAAGTAGAAAAAAAGGAAAAAAATTGTGTCCGTAATTTGGCAGAGAGCAAAATGCACAAGGTATTAGCAATGCATTAAAACCGTTAAGACTATCTCATGGATGTAGTTACAACATTGCATTAAAAATGACCTTATTGATTAAAAAAATGGGAAAAATTTCCAAGTTGTACCGTTAACCTCTTAAATGGGAACAATTATGAGAGAACTTAGTGATGCAATATGTTGCTTTAATGAAGTCCCAAAAAGTTTAAGCCATTTGTCAACGAATGTAACATTAATAATATATATCATAGGTGTCAATGCATCTCATTTGTATGTACATTTTTTGAATGCCTATCGTAAAAAATAGTATTCACATAATTATGGATAACTTAAAATGTGAATCTTAAAAATGAAATAACTAATTGTATGGAAATGTGTTGTAGTTTGTACTTATATAATTTACGTCAGTCTAAAATAGCCAATACTAAGGACATTAAAATAAGAATTCTTCCCAAAGCAATCTAAGAATTTAAAGGGAATCTTACAAGATTGGTTCATTCTTATGTCTCTGATAGATGGTCATAATTTCATCCGAGTTTGAATCATACAGAGAGGTACAATAAAGATAAAAAAAAATCGTTAAAAAAAAATGACAAAGGGTTGTGTATGTTCCGTGAAGGCAATCGAAAAAATATATTGAAGATACTTATGTCTTTACAAAATACCATTTCAATTCATCTTATTTTATTAAATGTGGGATGTGATATAATTCTGAAGAATGAAGCGAATATATCTGTAATATTTTAATAATTATTTAAAAATTATTATTTTGTTTATGTTGTTTAAAAAATAAAAAATTATTTTATAATGTTTTAAGCTCGAGGTAGATTCAAAACTGAATGATACTTGCCAATTTGACAAGGGTCTAGCTACGCAGCGGTTTAAGGCCTATGCGAGATTGGAGTCCGGAGGATGCATTCAGTTTTTAAATGAGTTACTAACAAACAAACATGGCCCGCTATTGTGCACTTTTTATTTCCCGCTAAACGTAAACCTTGCACAAATGTCCCTACCCATTGTCCTCCAAAGCAATTTATTCGAGTCCAGGGGTATTTGTACTTTTACTTTGCAAAACAATCCTTGGTGCTGATTCATTTGAATTATTTTAATTACCTGTTGCCACCTCGACCCACCATTAAGCATTCACTTTCAAACCAATTTGAAACCGATACTGTTGTGATGCAGGACACAGCAGATGCTGGCCCTCCCCATTAATGCTGCTGCGGTGGCTCATTGTACACCACATCTTTCCAACCCGTTGTTTTACTCTTCCTGGAGACATCCGTACCATCTCCACTATATAACCATCCGTTCCCTTTCATAACTCAATTGTTTTTTATTGAGTTTTTCGATAAATGAACTCTGCGAAAACACTTCAAAAGCCGGCAACTTTTGAAGACACTTCAAAAGCCGGCAACTTTTGAAGTGCTCCGCAGCACTTAACTACTAAACCCCCCCAAGCGATGTGGGAACTTAACCCCACAGGGCGCTCCGCTGCTAAGAAGTAAAGACCCCCAGACTCCCCGTATCAGGTTTTTTCCCTTTCATAACTCAATTGTTTTTGATTGAGTTTTTCGATAAATGAACTCTGCGAAGACACTTCAAAAGCCGGCAACTTTTGAAGTGCTCCGCAGCACTTAACTACTAAACCCCCCAAACCCCCCCAAGCGATGTGGGAACTTAACCCCACATGATTATCGTTTGAATATGAAAAAATGGATAGATGAATGGAGGGAAATTCATTTGAGAGGATCTTAATCCCAAAATTGTTATTAGCACTCAACACAACAGAGCACAAAAACTACTCGCATGGATTCTCCACCACGTAAACACTCAGCTAATTAAATACTCCCAACTGTAAGTAGGCGACCTCAGCTCAGCTGGTTCCGATGTCTCAGGGTGCCTGGCTCCTTCTCTTTGACCAGAGATTCAAAACACAAAAGTCAGAAGCAAAACCCAGTTCTGGGACTCTATATATCTCCATCGAGCAATACTAAATAGAAACAGCGGCAGCGGCAGAACTATCGTATCGAGATGTTGAAACAGCGGCAGCCTCTTTCCTTTCCCCCGTCTCTCCTCAATTATCTCTACGTTGGTCACTTCCTAGCCAGATGGGGTGCCAGGTAACATGTCCCCTCATTCTCGTTTCATCATTAGCGAAGCCTTGTCTATCAGGGTTTTGTTTCGTCAAGTTTCAGTCAGAAGAAGCGGCGTGTCATGTCTTGTGTGTTGTTGTATGAGTTGTTGGTTTTCTCGTCTCGTCTTACCGAAACCTGTTATCTCTACTCTTTGGACACTTTTTTTTTACCGATTAACTAGAATAAATATATAAATAAAACGATTTTCACAAAGGATATGCGACATTCTCTTGGATTTACGTTTAGCATTTCTCAAATACGTCATTTTGAGAATTCGCGCTACTCTTGTGATTTTCTTGTTTCTTCAAGTCTTTCTTTCCAGTCTTAATCTGGATATTTTAGATGTAGTCCTTTTTCTACTGCACTTCTTGCGATAATTCTGACTCAATTTGCCAACCTATTGAAATTCTTGCACTAAAGTCAGCTTTTCATGAGGGTATATTTTGGTTGCAGAATGTGGGAATTCTCTGTTGGTCTGTACATGATTAATGTCTGGCCGGATTCGCTGGCCCTTGCTGCTGCTTATGGTGTGGTGGAATCTGCCTCCACGGCATTATTTGGTCCTGTTGTTGGACGGTTGGTTGATAAGTTCACGTACATCAAGGTTCGTTTCAGTCTCTATCTTGAGATGCCTTCTTGATGGTTGATGATGTCATCCTCATTGTAGTATTTGCATGTCAAAATGAAGCAAAGGAATTAAGAGACTTCAAAAAAAAAATTTTAATTGCAAAGATTTTGGATCAAGTCTAGTATTTGACAAGGAAAACCTTTAGCTTTGAACCATACACATTCCGAGTGAACAAGATGACTATTGTAAAAAATTATTTGCTGCATGTCCAACCAAAGAATGAAGCCATGTTTTGGAACGGAATTTACCTTGCAGAATCTCTATCATGTAGACTTGTGATTTCTATCTATTATCCACGTCATGCGCTTATCGAATAACGGCATTTTTAGGGAAAAAACAGCTAATGCTTTTTTACTTCTTGTCCTAGGGAAATGATACTTATTATTCTTCTGTTTTTTAACTTGTAGGTTCTTCGACTTTGGTTATTAAGCCAAAATTTCTCCTTTATGATTGCTGGAGGCACTGTGGTTGCACTTCTGCTGTATGAGGATGTGAAGTCAGAAAATTTCATAGTATTTTTGTCGTTTATCCTGTTAATCAATATTTCTGGAGCTGTTGGTGTGCTCTCCACTCTTGCTGGGACCATTCTGGTTGAAAGAGAATGGTGAGTGCGTTAGGTCTTTGATGAACTTATTTCTTCCCAAGACAGTGAATGTAAAGTATGGATGCACTGCTGTAGTATCTTGCATTACTCTTTTGTACATTCTGTTGCTAAAATTAGCATATCATCTCATGAGAATCAAATGATGAACTTGGTTTTGATGTATACCTCATCTTGCTGACCAGTTCGACCAAAGGATAGCACGTTCCTTGAAAGTCGTAGTAATTAATTTAGACATATAAAAGAAAAAGATATGATATTCACATTTTTCTGCAGGGTGGTTGTGATATCAGAAGGTCAACATCCAGGTGTCCTGACTAAGATGAATGCAACCATTCGAAGGATTGATTTAGTTTGCAAGTTATTTGCTCCTGTAGTCTCTGGTTTCATTATCAGCTTTGTCTCTCTAACTGCTTCAGCTTTAACTCTAGCTATCTGGAATATATTGTCCGTTTGCTTGCAGTATTGGCTTCTAATGTCTGTATACAATGGAATTCCTGCTTTAAGTGAAAGCAGTCAAAAGAGGGTTTATAGATCTCTGCCAACTGATTCGGAAAGAAGCTCCTTGACTGATGAAAGTAGAAACTCTCACTGCTTAGGTGATAATGATTTGGAGCCTCTCGGCCACGGCTGGATGAGAAAAGTAATCGAACGAGTTTCAAGAATCTCTTACTTCAGTGCATGGAAAGTTTATCTAGAGCAAGATGTGGTTCTGCCAGGAATTGCGCTTGCTTTACTCTACTGTACCGTCCTTAGGTAAATTCCTTAAGATATCGGCCTTTACAAATTATAGTTGTCTGCATGAATTTATATGTTTTATTCATCTCTCTCTCTCCACCCTGCCAATTAAGCTGATAAATATATTTAAATAATGACCTCTCATATCCAATTTTTTTGTTCACTAAAGATGTCTTGTTTCTTGACTTAAAATTACTGAAGGATGTCTCAATAAGAAGAGGGAATGCCTCATTTTGTAATCTTTAGGATCATGAGAGCAATAGTAGGAAGTTTGAGGATGGAATATTTCATGCTTCTGGGTTTAAATGCCAATGTGTCTTCAGGACATAATCCATTGTTGCTTGGCATTTCAGCTTCGGAACTCTAATGACTGCTGCTTTGGAATGGCAAGGCATACCAGCCTATACAATTGGGATTGCACGAGGAATAAGCGCTACGATAGGGATTCTTGCAACTTTTTTGTACCCTGTTTTAGAATCACAGCTTTCAACACTTCGTACAGGTCTCTGGTCAATTTGGTCTCAGGTAGTCAGTTCATTCATAGTTCTTGGAGCTTACAGGGAAACTTTATTGCTTTTATAAGCCTTGTTTTGTGGTGAGTAACTTGCTGATTCCACTCACTAATTTATGGCATTGGATGCTTTATTTATACAGTGGACTTGCCTAGTGGTATGTGTAGCTTCAATTTGGGTCCCGAATAAACTTGGAGCAGCATATTTGCTTATGGGTGGAGTGGCTCTGTCACGTCTTGGACTTTGGATGTTTGATTTAGCAGTCATTCAGCAAATGCAGGTGAGTCCTAATGAATATTGCTAACCTGCTTGTCTTTCAGTAGAATATGTGGTAATTTTTTTTTTTTTTTTGGCAATGTATGTGGATAGGATCAAGTTCCGGAATCTGATCGTTGTGTTGTTGGAGGTGTTCAAAACTCTCTACAGTCTGTGTTGGACTTGACCACTTATGTCATGGGCATAATAATATCTAATCCCCGGGTAATCTCTCACTTTGTTTTTTCGGTGAACCTTTGCATGGAATGTGAATCTATTTGCCAGCTCTATTGAGTTGTCATTATACTTGGTCCTTCTTGCAAATTATCCACCTCATAATTGCCTAGACTTTGACGTGTGGAAATTGATCTTCCATTTAGAGAAAGGATGGGAAACATAACGTACGGAAGATGTCCTCATCCAGCAACACAAACGCTTGAAAATATTCACCTTTATTTGTGATCTTGTATGAGCCTCCGCATGTTTGTCTCTATGGGCTTAATTTTAGCGCACGCTCACACAACTGGCATAAACACTAATCAGAGAGGAAGGGACAGGAAAAACAAATATTTCATGCTAAACATTTTTTTTGGGTCCTCCCGAAATCTCAATCTCAAGGTATTTGTTAGTTCTGTTGATTTGGGAAAATTGAAAAGTTCTGCTCTGGTTAATTTTCCCCTCTTTGGCCGATGATAAAATCACCAAGTTATACGAAAATTAACGAACTTTGAAGATCAACAGCTGAGGAACATCTTTCGTGGTTCTTTTCACCACAGTAGTCTTGAGGATTTACATTTTCCAACTCTTTAATACGATCTGCTGCCTTGTTGATTAGGACTTCTGGAAGTTGATAATCTTATCTTTGCTCGTGGTGACACTGGCTGCAGTACTGTACAGTATACACATTTATCGCGTAAGAAAGCATCTCTTTCATTTCGAGAAGCTGTATCCACTTGTCAGAATTGTTTTCAGGTCAACTTATTTTTTGCTTTACTTCGAAACTTGATACGTAGATTTGTTTATTATGGCACTGCTTTCTGCTGTCAATTTCCGGCTTGGGTTTTTAAATAAGCTGGCATTAGTGTCGATTCCTGAAGAATTTAAAGTACAAACTTTTTTCCATCTGCATCAAGATAATAGTACTCCACCACCACCACCAGAAAACGGCATGCATACACACCCCAAGAGAGAGACGAAGGGAAGCCAGGAAGAAAACATAATCTTGACCCAGGTGATGTGTTGCCATTGGACGATTTCAATAATGTTGCAAGACAACAAAGACGACGGTTGAAAACGAATGCAATTAACATCAAGGACATTTCAACTAGAAACCTGCGAAAGGCATTTTCCTACGTACATGGATAGTCTAACAAATGATAGAGAGTCAAAAAGTTCACCAGTAAGTAAACAATTCGGCAGATATAGAAAATGAATTTTAGGTGGCCAAACCGAAATGCAGACCTGGTATGGTGAAAGGTTCTTCTGGATTCATACGTAACTAAGTAGCATTCCATATGTTGCACGCTTTTTACCCCAATGATGATCATATGCGTTGCTCAAAGATACTGGAAAGTTAAGTTTGGTGACCAGTCAAAGGAGTACGTACTTGCCAGATCTCGACTTCCATGTTTGACATAACTACTTGATTTGCCTCGAGGAAGCGGTCATCTTACGCTAAGGCAGAGTGTAATGTCAAGGGGAAAATCCTTGAACAAGGTCTGGAAGATTAGGATTTGCAGCTAGCTTTGAAGGTCCTTGTTAATACCAGTAATTGTTAGCCTGATTTGTGAAGTTGATCGGGTCACTGCACAGACGTGGACTCGATAAGTTGGCACTGTAATCGCCTCGTTAGTTTGTGGAAGCCGTGTATACATTAATATGTTGTGATCCGAATCAGTGATGAGTTATGCCTGACAGTCAAAACTCCAAACAAGTCTCGACAACTCTCTTCTATTGAATTTTTTTTTTAACCGTTTGTTGCCGGAGTTCGATGTGACCAGAGGTTTTAAAGACGTCAGATCCTGGCCCCAAACTCTAATCTACTCTTTTTCTCTGGTATAGTGTGAGTAGTATGGTCGTAGTAGCAAGAAGAGAACTAAAACGAAAACAGGAGACGCAGAACCATCTAATCTAGTGTTTGTGTCTAGAGGGGGCTATAGTATCCATAGCCTCCTTGCGATGCATCCACCACTTGTGCATTAATATTAATAACATACTTGCATAGGTGTACATCTAGAGTGGATTGTTGTGGATTTAACTTTTTTTTTTATTTATTTTTTTCGGTAGGGGAGGGATAAAATTTAAGAAATGAGTAGAAGAAGTGAATTCAAGAAATTTGAATTTAGAATCTCTAATTTTTGGATTTAACTTCTCTCTCAAATCTTTTTCTATATTGAAATATTTTGCCGAGAAAACTTGGTCTAATAACTAAAGTTAAGACTCCAAAATTTAGAGGTTTTAGGTTTAATATATCCATATTCCCTTTTCGCTTTTTAAATCTCAATACTCTCCTATCAGAACAAAAAAAAAATCAAAATAAAAAGAAAAACAAGTAGAGTAGTCAATTAAAAAAATAAAAAAGCAAACTGGTCAATAATATGGGATTTTTTTTTCAGCAATTTTCTCAACCTAAAGATGCCCTGATTTCTTCTTTTGTACCCTCTAATTCGTTGCCCCTCTGCCCGTGAAGTCAATATCCGGGAGTGAAAGCAGCTAGCCGGGAGTTGATGTCATCTTTGAGGTCCCCTTAAGACAACGATAACCGGACCGGTCCAACTGACATTACTGTACCAGTTGGTACCGCCCAAAAAAAATTGTTTGTACGGCAAATAGTATTCGAGGTGGTACTATTTGATGTCAGGCCGTTGGGTGTTCAGGCGTTGACCGTTGACTCCAGCATAAAGAATTGGAATAATTTCAAAAACCTCCCTTGAGGTTTCTCATACTCTCACTCGACTCCCCTAAGGTTTACATAATTACAAAGACCTCCCTTAATGTAATAAAAATATAACATTGCCCTTCATTTAATTGTCAGCTCATTAAAAAATTCTATAGAAAATTAGTCTCTCTTATTTATTATCAAGCAATAACTCAAATTAAAGTTTTTTCTATTTAACTCTCTATTCTCTTTCTCCTATATCTTCTTTTATTCCAAAGTCATTAATCTATTTCCATCAATCAAATATGTATTGCTATTACTAACAAAACCACCTTGCATATCAACCATCACTGCTTGTCCATCTTGGTGTCTATTTCTCAACTCTATCTCTTTTATTACTATTAAATAGCTTATTTGAACTTTTTTTTTCTTTTTAATTTTTGATAGGTATTAGCATATTGAATCTGTCAAACAACAAGTTGAGTGAATATTTCATTATCAATCTAAATGAAAATGAATATAGCGATAGAGATAATGACAATGATAAAATCAAAAATTAATGGTAGAAGTGGAAGATGGACTAAATAAAAATTATACTATTATGATTATTATGCAAACAGTCTTTCTAATATATTTATAATTGTTTTGTATTGTATTTTTATTTTTTATTTGAATTATTGGTGATGGTATTCCTGCAGAGGCAGAATTTGAATGATTTTAAACTTTGTACTGACAAAATATATTAGGTGTTGGTGATTGGTAGTGATGATTTAAACTATTTTATATTAGAAAGGTGATAGTGTGGAATTGAAGTTTAGGAATATTGGTGAATACAATGTTGTTGTGTATTAAGCAAAACTTGAGTTTGATATGACATTATAGGTAAGATTTTATGTATTTGATGCAACGTTTTTACTTGGTTCAATAGTTTGCACTGAAAGTCTTTTAAATAATATTGATGGGTAAGTACTAACAGTCACAAGCATGAATGAATGAAATAGAGAGAGTGAACCATTTTTTGTCTTCATTATTTTTGTTGTGAATTATAACCTAAGAGCAATTTAGAATTTTTTGAGAAAAAGCCTAATCTTTTGGGCCTATAATGTTACTTAAACATTTTATAACCCAAGAGCATTTTATAATTTTTTGAGAAAAAGAATAATCTTTTGGGCCTATAGTGTTACTTAAACATTAAAAATATGGGAGATAAGTATATTTTTAATACATGAGAGGAGCTTCTTGCAATTATTAAAAGTTTCAGGGGTGGTATGAGAAATTATCCCTAAGGAATTAGAGGCTGGCGATAGTGCACTTTGACCAGTGGTAACCAAAATCATTGGGGATGTACGAGCCAATACATTATGACTGTTAAATATTCCAATATCTCTTCTTTTTAAAAAAAAAAAAATATTTCGTTTTGAATATAATTTACAGCAATGACTACAATCATTTAATGAAAATTGAGGATAACCCCTCACCCATCTTATCTTTGATGAAGATACTCCAGTTTTCTTGCAACCTTTCCTTCAAAAAGGAAAAAAAAAAAAAAAAAAGCTTTCCTGGCTGCAACCTCCTGAGTATGCTAGCCCTTAATTTCCTTATATTATATAAGATTGAGTTTTGATCAAAGAGGGGGTTGAATTTCAACCGCATGATAGGGGTTTTTTGGGAATGTGGGATGTTGTGTGATTTTCTTAAAACTTTTGGTACAACTGAGGGGAGCATGTATTTGGGTATGTTTACCAAAATGTCCTTATTTTGGTACATTAAAAGTTTTGATTTTTATAGGCATATGGATATTTCTGAAAGGTAAAATTATTTTGCAACCATTTTTGCACCGTATACAACTCATATATGCTTATATGTTGGTGTAATTACTGGAATGGTATTATAGATTCATTTAATTTAACTGACTTTTGTTGTGCAATTAAAACAAAGACATGTTGCTATAACTACTCGTTTGAGGTTATTTCTTTGTTTGAAACAACTTGTCTGATTGTTTCCCAACTCATATGAGCTCACGTCTAAAACAACCCATTCCTTTTCCCATTTACATCTCAATTAAATAGCCAAAAACATGGGTATTGAATGAATAAACGGCTGAGCATCATTATGGTTGTTTCAATGCTTCCCCTTTCATCTTCTTCAGTTTCTCCACTTTCGGCTTCTGGAATTTGGATATTTTTTGCAGCCTTTATACTAAACATCTCGAAGTGGTTTTCAGCCGCAGCTATTCGTGGTGGTTTAGCTTGAGATTAGATTTGTTCCTCAATTTTGTTGTTTATGTGGGTGGTTATTGTGGTTTGTAGCATCAATGTGTGGTCAGATCCTAAAATTTGAAACTTTGGTTGTGTAGTTTAGCTGCAAGATAAAGATTTTTGCACAGAAACGGTGTCCTCTGAAATTTAACTGGTTTGCTTATAATGATAGGTTCGGAGCAACTTTAAGAAAAAACTTCCCAGGAGGTATTTGGAACAAGGTTAGCTTTCTAGGGTACTCTAGCTTACTACATTAATCCGGTCATGGTGTGTTTTCTGCTATATGAAATAAGAGATTCACTTCCTCTTTCCTCTTGGGAATAGCTAGTAGCAGGACAGAAATCCATCGATGTAAGACAGGGCAGGAGAACGACTGGGATCTTATAGAGTTTTTGGCTTTCAAGCATTTTCCTCGCTCGTTTTGTTAGAGAAAGTGAATGGTTTGCTTGACGAGGGAAGAGATGTGCTAGCTATTTGCTTTCTTAGAAAACTAAGCGACTAATTTATTGTTGAGAGGTCAGAAATTCCTACAACAAACTCTTTCATTTTCTTTTAGTGACATAGTGAACCTTCTTGCTAAATTAGTAGCCAACAGGGAATATCCCTTTAATGGGAATACGGCCACCTGCCTTTCTTCCTACGCTGGCTAAGCAATTAGTCCTCAACTGAAAAAGGAAGGTTCTACCATGGTTGGGGTTAGCCATTCCTGTTAGCCTTGATGAGTTCCTCTTTGCCTTTAGGTAACTATAGTCACTTGCTAATTGATTATAAAGGTAAGCTTATTCACCTTGACTTATTTTTATAGTTTACATACTTTTGTATTGGCGCTTTTTACTTTATGTAGGATGAATCTAATTAATTTCCTGAACCACCAACAGTTGACTTTGGGCATTGAGTCCTTACTCCTTTCGACAAGAGCGCTTACTTCTATGACACCATCGCCGGTACCGGTTGCTCCTCCGCACCATGCCCTGGATATGCCATTTAACATTTGTACAGCAAACACGTTTTACATAAAATATCAAACCCCAGCTTCTTTAACTATTTCTTCTCAAATTATCTCTCTAATTATAGGCACAAAACACTCGTGCGATGCGTGAACACTCCCCCCTAGTATTTATTATAACAAAAGCAACCGCTATTCAGATAATAAGTAAGCCGGGCTGCTTCTGCCCCGCTCTTAACTGGTGTTATGTAATGTCTCCCATCTTTAGAACGCACGGCAGTGGAGTTAGACGAGTGATTCACTGTTTGCATAATATTAATCGCGAGTCAAACTTTACCTACGAATTAAACTCTGAAACAAACTTATATATATGTATCACCCAATATACCTCCCTCATTAAGAGTCACTTCTTTCCGTGGAGCATGTACATTTTGATGTCTCAATTTCATCCGCCTCCCTTAATCAGTAATATTCAACAAAGGATCAACATGTGCTTTCTACCTGAGAAGGATCTTCGTTAGAAAGAAAAACGTTCATGAAGTGTGGGTGAAAGAGATGTAAATGAAAGGTTTCACGTTTTTTCTAATGCTACTATCAGAAGGTTTGTTTTTCTTAATTTCAAGTATCATCCAAAATTCAAAAAATAAACAAGAGAGAGAGAGAGAGAATGCGTGTGCGCGCGTGCAGCAATGCCAGCAGAGAGCCGCCGGTGACGACTGTCAGCGAATAAAGGAGATGCTAAAAATCACCGGTTAGTGGCAAAAATGATCCATCAAATGAAAATGAAGAATTCCAGGATCCAGGTCGGTGGATGAATTTGGGGTATTTGCAAGCGGATCCTCGCCGGGTCGCCAGAATAATGAATAATCTCTCGCTGTAAGGGGCACATCCAAAACAAGTCAAGCCGATACGCCGAACACAAAGGAATAAAGTCCGGCCGCCTTCCTACTCCCAAACACCAAACGCGGCGGCGTAAGTTGTACGGAACATCCACCTCTTCCGCCCCTTCTGTAATCAACCACGTGTCCTTAACACACCTAAGCCATGCTAACTCGACAAAGTCCTGACCTTTCTTCACTTTCCTAGCGTTTGATTCAGGCAATTGTTTTTTTTAAGTGAAATTATTTTGTTAGACTGTCGCGAGACTCAACATAGCTGTCAGGGATATTATTCTGGTAAATTTGTATTTCTTGATTCGACTGTCACGTCTTCTTCTTTTTCCTATCACTTTTAAAGTTTCAAGTCTCCCGTTATATAAAAATATATATTAGACTAAAGTGACCAACAAATTAATTTGTTTACATTCTAAAGTTTACGATTCATCGTATTTTTTTAGTGTAGAATCAGTTCTACTATTTAGGTACTTTCATTCAGTTTAGTTATAAAGAATAGATGAAATGAGGGTTTTTTTTTTTTTTTACAAAAACTTTATGCTTTATAAATTTAAGATAACCTGCTTATTTGTATGCCAGATATTAGAAAAGATTAAAACTATCAACATGCTCCAGTAGGTACAACTACGTGCGTGGGATAAATTAGGGCAATTTGTATCACAAATTGGAGAATTTACTGCAAACGGTAAAGCTTAGAAACTTATTTGCGTGGGAATATGATTAAAAGATGACCCAAATTATTGGATGCTTGAATCGAGTTTGATTGAATAAAAGTTTGTTTGAACTTGGTTTACAGTTAGTCAAACCATACTTGAATAGAATTTTGCATTTGACAATTTCTCAAACTTGGGTTGCATTTAATAAAACTGAAGTATAAAAATTAAAATCTGAAATCTGAAGTTTGAATCTATTAGCTTACTAAATCTGTTACATTTGAATGTATATTATATTAAATGATAAGTGAATAACTTTCAATTTATTTTTTGGAGCAAGTTTTGTATAGGAATATTAGTACCATTTAATGAATTCATATGTTCTATTTTTTGTTATCATATGCGTCTAAAAAATATTAAGACCTAAACCCAATAAATATTGAATTGGATTATCAAATAGTTCAAATTTGACTTGATTAGTATACAATTAAAATTATTAAATAAAGAACTCAAACTACTCTAGCTTAATTCAAATTTGGCTTGATAAAAGTTTGTTAGAATTTGATTCGATCGATAAATGAGCTAAATATGAACACAATTTCAAATTTGACAAAATAACTGAACAAGATTGAATATCAGAGTGTTCGACTTAATTATACTCGTTTACACGTCTAAATAAAAGTAAAGGTAAGTACGTGTTATAGTGTGCGAGGCCGAAAACAATTACGGTTGAAAATATTAATTATATATATGGAGGGGAAAGGGTAGAAAAGGGGTTGGATGCATGTGGCGCAGATGATAGAGAGAGGGGGGAGATGGCGGACTGAAGTCAAGAAACAAAAGAGAGAGCAGCTTTTGGGTATTCTCGGGGAATTGGAAGGAGATTCGAATTCTCTGCAGCTGCACATACTTGATGGTGGAGATCCGTTCATCCGAACTTGGGTTGATCTCGATCGTTAAATCAGGATCCGCTGGCAGTTGTAGCCTGCATGAGTAAGGGCCTGGCTAGCCCAACCCAACCCAACCCAAGCACACCACAGCTTCGTTTCGTACTGCATTCTTTTTGGATTCTTTGCCCGCTTTTGTTCCGTCTCTAAGAATAAAATACGACTAAGTACTTGGTTACTAGCAGACAAGTACTAGTGGAGTACGTTTAAAACGACCAACAAGAAGAGAAGATAAAAATGGTGCGTCTCTATCACTCGCCCTTTTGTGCATTGTGCCGTTCATATCAGGGAAAGTCAGGTACCATTAAGACGCCACTTATAAGTACGGCCTCCGCCTTACCTCATCAATACATTGCGTATCATATCCTTTTTTTTTTTTTTTGCCTTAATTCCGACTTCCCCCTGCCCATATTATGAATTAAATATGCTACTTCTTTTTAATCAGGATTGTAAATGAATTGAGTCGCTCGCGAGTCGAGTTCGAATTCGCGAGTCGAGTTCGAATTCGAATTCAAGTTGATCAAATGAAACTCAAACTAAAAAATATTAAAATCGTGTTATTTTGCGAGTCGATTTCAATTCGATTATATATATATATTTTATTTTATAGTAAAAGTATATATATCTCTAATATTTTATTATTTGTAAAAAATAATTATTTTATTTATTTTAAAAAATAAAATAATTATTTTTTTATTTTTTAAACTCGAATTCGACATTTTGAACTCGTCGAGTTCAAATTCCAGTTCGCGTTTTATAAAATTATGTTGAAACTCGATTCGATTAGGACGAATTCGACTCGTTTGCACACCTATTCTTAGCCACAACACCCACTGCCATTGGTCCTGATTAGTTAGATTTAGCCTCTCTTTGATAACGTAATTTAGTGCTTCAATTCAATAGATTCAGGTTTTAATATGTTTAAATGCGTTTGATAATAAAAATTTGAATATTTAAATTTATTAATTAAATGACACTGAATTTTCTAAATAAAATTCGATCCAAAAAATAAATGATAAGTTATTAACTTATCACTTAATCTTATATACACTCAAAATATATCAGATTTAATATTTAGTAATTCAATAACTTAAAATAATTTAATATCTTCAAATTTTGAGTTTTAATTTTATCAAACGCAGTCTTGACTCAATTACTAAAAGGGGAATAAAAGTCCCAGGAAAGGAATACGCGAATATTTATTATATTATATACCTATTCTTTTTTTTTTTTATTTTTTTTAGGGGGGAATTACGTGGTTCAAAGTGTTCGTACCGTCCGCACTCGAATATGTCCTTCCTCACATATTTCTCCACCGATTGAATTGGTCTTTCCTCAGTTACGCCCACTCCCGGCCCCGCCCCCACATTTTCTCAGAAAATGCATTCCCCCACTGTCTTGACCTGCCCTCCTCAACTCCGTCTCTTGACTTTACTGCCGCACATCCTTTCCGTCCTTTCCCCCCGTACGGCATTCTCTTTCCCATTTTACCCCCTTTTTGTCCACTGCTGCCCCACCCCTAATAATACTATACCAGTACTACTGTTCCTCCCCCCAAAAGGCATTAGTAGAGCGCGTTGTACCGTACATTTAGCGATGGCGTTGGTAACTAGACAGGCCAACAATCTACAGTAGAGGGCAGCTGTTGTCATTATGGAAAGGTAGATATCACCCTCATCGTCATCATTCTTTTAAGAAGGAAGAAGGAAGAAGGAAGAAGAAAGACGAAAGAAGCGCCGAATAGGATAATGGAGTAATTTTGTTAATCTTCTTTCTTTCTCCTTCACACTTGACTGCTCAAAACCCAGCCAGTTTAGTGTTTTCTGATAACTTAACGGTTGCTTCTAAAATCTTTCAACGTCTCTCTCTCCTCCCCTGATGTCGAAGCTCAAAATGAAATGCTAATTTATATCTGCACCATATCCACCTCAATTCTCTTGCCCAAGCCTTACCTGTAAGTCTTGTTCAACACCCTTTTTTCTTTTTTAATTTCATTTTCCAAACCTTCACTTTTTTCAGCATAAATCATCCTTAAACTCGTATATTTCGTCAGCTTCTCCTGATACTGAAGGCCGAAGGTCCAATCTTTAGCCCTCCGACACCGAAATTCGTGTTGTGCTTCGATCCTTGCGGCAATGAAGAGACAAAAATCGACTTCTGAATCCAATTTCAACCACTTTGATCTTCTGTCCGAAGAGATGGTCTTTTTAGTTCTTGATTGGCTGAATGATAACCCTCTTGACAGGAAATCGTTTTCCCTTGTTTGCAAATCCTTTTACGCTATTGAGTCAAGACACAGGAAAACCCTGAAGCCCCTTAGGCCTGAGCACTTAACCAAGATTCTCAATCGATACCCTTGTGTCACCAATCTTGATCTGTCTCTCTGTCCCAGAATAACAGACAGCTCGCTGGCTGTAATATCGACTGCCTCCAAGGAAATGCTGAGGTCAATCGATCTTTCGAGGTCCAAGTTTTACAGTCATGTGGGGTTGTCCAATCTGGTGATGAATTGTGGGAATTTGGTTGAGATCAATTTGTCTAACGCCACAGAACTAAAGGACAGGGCTGCATCAGCGATAGCTGAGGCCAAGAATCTGGAGAAGCTTTGGTTGGTGAGGTGCAGGTCAATAACTGATATTGGAATAGGATGTGTTGCAGTGGGGTGTAGAAAGCTGAGGTTGCTTTGCTTAAAGTGGTGTTTGGGTGTTGGTGATTTAGGGGTTGATTTGATTGCCGTCAAGTGTAAGGAGATTCGTAGCCTGGATCTCTCCTACTTGCCTGTAATGAAACTGTTCTGCTTAAGATATTTATCTGTTCTTTCTCTTGTCTGACTGCAGCATTCTTGTTATTATGTTTCCATTGGATGCCTGACTTGTCTCCTTTATAGTGGGTTTATCCCGTAATAGGTGCCTGATCGCTGCTATAATTGTTTCAATTTCAACCCAGCTGGGTTTTCAAGCATGACTCTAAACAATTATGTGTTACTTTTTGTTTTGCTATTCAATTGTTATATTTGTAATCGATTACTTCTACTTTTGATCGAGTTTGACATCTCTATGTTCAGTTACTCTAGTTTTTTAAGCATAATGAAACAGAGAGAGAATAATTCATCTGCCTATTCAAAATGTTTCTTTCTTTGTTTTGTAGAAGAGTCATTTATATGAGATTTCAACTATTTCTATTTATATTGGTAGACTTTCAGTTTTTTCTAAAGTGTGTTTATTATAGGTATTAGTAGTTCACCTCCTACTTAAAGCTAGAACAGGAACTTACAGCAATCAAGCATATATTTGTCCCAAAACATTTCCCTATCATTGTCAAGTTGTTTTTGCAGTACCTGACTGTCTGCAATCCGCACTGCTTGTCCTTTTCATGACCGTATATTTTGTTACGCGCAAATTGCTGCTGTATGAAAAGTATTATTGTTAGGCATATATTTTAGTTCTATACGGATCGAAGGGCATGACTCATATTTGACTGGAAATGTACTGTGTTAAAATAATAATTTGTGCATTCAGTTGCCCAACGGGGTCTTACATGGCATCAGTGCATAAAAATCGGAGCCCCTGCCATCCTCTTGATTAAAATAAATCAGCCATGGATTTTTTAAAAAAGAAAAAAAGAAACAAATCGCTTATTACATTCTCCTGTTTCCTCTTCAACAAATGTTCTATGTAGATTGCATGCCTTCTATTGGTTGTTCAACTTTGTCCCTTCTTTTTTGATCTTTGCAAACATATATCGTTGACAGGCTTGAATATCATAAGAGATCTGTATGCTGATTCTCGTTTCATATTAGCTTCTCCTATATTTTCTTTCCGGTTTAATGTTTTTAGTATTTTTTTTCTTTCAGATAACAAATAAGTGCTTGCCTTCAATCTTAAAGCTGCAATATCTTGAACATTTGGCTTTAGAAGGCTGCTTGGGGTTTGACGATGACAGCCTTGCAGCACTCAAGCAAGGGTTCAAGTCACTCGAGGTATATAGCTCCCTGGAAATGTTGCATCTACTTGTTTTCTGTTTTGATTCTTCATCTGCTTCTGGAGGACGGGGTGGGGCAGAAGAAGCAGCTATGTGAACTAGGTAAAAAATGATGCTTCAGCTCTACTATTGAATACCCTTTGGGGTATAGGAAGCAGATGGTTTGTGTACTTAGTAGAGGCAAATCAGCTTGTTATGATATTAAAGGACATCAGATTTTGAAACTCAGAAATCCGTTCTTTTTTTCTATCTCAGAAAACTGTAAGACAATGGTTATTAACCAGGAAAACTTGTTGCCTTGAACAGACACTTAACATGTCAAGCTGTGAGAATGTTAGTCATGTGGGCTTGTCGTCTCTAACCAGTGGCTCTGGGTGTTTGCGGCAACTTATCTTGGCTTATGGATCTCCTGTAAGTCCTTTATCAGTTTCACTTGTTTCAAGTACTAGTGGTTTCACTAGCTGATATCTGAAATTTGTGATGAATCAGGTCACTCTTGCTCTTGCTGATAGTTTGCAAAAGCTCTCAATGCTGCAATCCATTAAACTAGATGGTTGCCAGGTTTCGTGCTCTGGACTAAAGGCTATTGGAAACTGGCGTGTCTCTTTGAGGGAACTGAGCTTGAGTAAATGCCCAGGAGTGACAGATGAAGGCCTTTCCTCTCTTCTCAAGAAACATAGGGACTTGAGAAAGCTTGACATCACTTGTTGCCACAGGATAACTGATATTACCATTGCCCACATTACAAATTCGTGCTCCTCACTGACATCCCTGAGGATGGAATCCTGCAGTTTGGTTTCAGCTGAAGCTTTTGTTTTGATTGGACAGCGATGCCATTTTCTTGAGGAGCTTGACCTTACAGATAATGAAATCAATGATGAAGGTAAGGCCTTGTCCTTGGTTACTTGACATTCCGCTGAGAAGCTTGCTTTGAAATTCTGTTCTTCAGGGACATTCTTAATGCACATACTTGCAGGCCTTAGGTCCATCTCAAGGTGTTCCAGACTTTCCATCTTAAAGTTGGGGATCTGTTTGAACATTACAGATGAGGGGCTTATACATATTGGCAGATGCTGTTCGAAACTTAAGGAGCTTGACTTGTATAGGTAACTAACTATTTGGAATCTATAACTTGTTTGAAATCCGTAAGTGGTTTATGCATCTTTCCACTCATCTATGACATAGGTGCTATGCACAACCTTGATGGATGGGGATTTAAAAGGGAAAAGTGCGTTTAGATCGAAATGCCTTTGACCTTTCCTGAGAGAGAGTAAATTGATGACTCTGTGGGGTTGCTTGTGTACACTGCAGGACAAACAAATGCTTAGTTAGTCAATCCTACAACTATTTTCTATGCTTAATTATGACTATAATCCATTTCAGGTCTGCTGGAATTTCTGATTCAGGCATTTTGGCAATTGCTCGTGGCTGTGCTGGGCTTGAAATGATAAATATAGCCTATTGCAGAGATATTACAGATCACTCCTTGATATCATTGTCAAAATGTTCAAAGTTAAACACGCTTGAAAGTCGAGGATGTACTCTTATCACATCATTGGGTTTAGCAGCCATTGCTGTGGGATGCAAGCAGCTCAACAAGCTTGACATTAAGAAGTGCCACAATATTGATGATGCTGGAATGATTCCACTTGCTCAATTTTCTCAAAACCTTAGACAGGTGCATACTAAATGCTTTATATATATATATATATATATATATATATATATATATATATGACTTTATACATCAGAAGAAACGGGAAGATATCTTACTTAGTTGCTCATATATGCATGCACAGATAAATTTGTCATACACCTCAGTCACAGATGTAGGGCTTTTATCCCTCGCTAGTATCAGTTGTCTACAGAGCATGACCATACTGCACCTCAAGGGCTTGACCCCTAGTGGGCTGGCAGCTGCATTGTTGGTTTGTGGAGGACTAACCAAAGTGAAACTCCTGGGGTCCTTCAAATCTAAGTTACCGCAACCTCTGTTTGATCTTTTAGGAGCCCGCGGGTGCGTTTTTCAATGGAGAGATAAAGCGTTTCAGGTATATATATCAGTATTTATTTCCCGTAACGAGGTCTGCCTGATCGTTCGTTCCAATTTTTGTCTAACGTGTTTATTGTTATGGGAGGATTATGGAAATTTTTTTTTCGTTTCATTATCGGAAATGCTTGGCAGCATAATTAACCTAGTGCGTCTATATGTACAAAAAATCGTCTTCACGTGAACCATATAATACAAGGGTTGGGACTGAGATTTGTCCTCTGCACATTACAGGCTGAGTTGGACTCGAGATGTTGGAAATTTCAGTTAAATACTGCGGAACAATGAGTGAGTTGAGTGTGGAGGTTCAGATTTACACATTTCTGAAGTCATATCTGCTTCCAGCTTCAAGGAGGAGGAGGAGGAGTATTGTTTTTTTTTTTGTTTGCTCTAGTCAATTCATAAATGTTTGCTCCGTCACATGATTTTTACAGCGCAACTCTTGGAAGCTTTGTCTTATCAAAATTTGGCAACTCTTGGAAGTTGTAGACCTGAAATGTATCATAGGCTTACATTTCACTCCAATCCCTGAGGTTCGTGAAAGCTAATTTCATTTGTAACAGCGAGGGATTCTAAAAATGGAGTGTGTGTTACTGTTACCTCTCTCGAGTGTATGGTTCCAATTTCTACGCCTGCACCATTTACGGCATTGGTACATGTCCTTTGGCACTTGGATGGTGATATGCATGCATGCATGAATTAGGGTGATGATAATAACTGATTAGATGCAAGAAAGCAAGCAAATTTGGGAAGAAGTAAACGTCTGTGTGGGCCCTTTTGACTGGGTAAGCCCCAAACATACCCAAGAAACTGATTGAGGGAAATGGGATGATTGGATAATAAACACTGAAATTTGTGATCTTCGCGCATCGCTTCCTATTGTCGTTGGTTGAAAGGCGAAAAGCCCAGCCCAGCCCTTCAGTCACTCATGAGCCCTGACGATTCTGTTTGATCATGTTAAATTGTTGAATAAAAAAAAATTTTTTTTAAGGACCTTTTAAATTTCTTTTTTATTTTTGTCACAACGACATTTGTATAATCTAGTCTAATCTAATTTAAGGAGAGAGGCAGTTGACAACATTTTTTCGTCGGAGAAAGCCACAATTTAAGTGATAAGGTGAGAAGCAAGGCTTGACCTCCCACCCCTAGCAAGACATTTACTAACCCTAAATGGCTGTTGGCAAAAGGACTTTTTACTTACCCAGACTATAACTCGCATCACGGGGCTAATTGGGCTTGGCTGTCAGCTAAAAGGTCGAAACGCATAAATATATGTACGTAAATGTAGATCACTCAACGTCACCCGGCCCTCATCACAAGTCCAATGATGTCCATTGGCTTAGAAGTACCATACAATAAAATTTGAAAATGACTTCCTGAATAAATATATATATATATATATATATACGAATTGTCTTGTATACACAAACATTGTATATACTATGATTCCATTTGAGATTATGGTACGTTTATCGAAAAAGTGCTTTTAACCACTAAAAATACTTTAAAGATGTTTGGAAACTATTTTTCGTAATTTAAAGAGGCCAACATCTAATGACTTGAAAGAACTTTTATTAAAAGTGTTTATTTACAAACCATCGTAATCCCACCAAACGGTGCCTATCACTCTTGTATACATTTCGCTTATACAAAAAAATGATATGCAAATTCAAATTCGAATTAAGTTATCATAGATTCATGGGTGAAAGTGTATACAATGTCAATATATACAAATCCATGATGAGGGGGTAGGGCGGGGTGGCCTTATTGTTCCAACTGCTACCATTTAAAATGTAGTAGACTAGTCAATTTATGGATTTCTTTAGTCTCTAGATATAACTTTTTCCTTTTTTTTTCGGTGCCCTAGGCTATCTAATTTCCTATAAAATGGTATTGATTATTATGGATAACAATTGGAGCGTATACTCGCAAGGGTTAATGGGGCGGGGGATAGGGCATGGCAGAGGGTCATTTTCTCCCCTCATTAGAAAAGGAGAAGGTACCCCCTCGGCGTCACTCACCTAATATATATATATATATATATATATATATATATATATATATATATATTTAATATTATTAGTTATAATAATTATATTACAAGTTATAAGTATTAGTTTATGTATATATAATATAAATAATATTATTTATTATACTAATAATAATATTTATATTAATACAAGTTATTAATTAATTGTACTAAGTAATTTATATTAAATTACTAATTACCTTTTTTTTTTCAAATTATACACTTTTTCTCCTCGGGCATCTGCCGGGCCAGGGGATGATGAGGGGCGGAAGCTGGGGAAATGTTTGGGCCATTCCTAGTGGTTATTTGCATTTCCATAGCCATTTCGCTGTCGTATGTCTTATACTACAGCAGTAGTAATGTTTAACAGGGTCCCTGTTTGTTTGTTTCTCCAACTTTTTTTTTGTTGGTGTTCAAGTTTCCGAAGCCTATTTCGACGCAGCAGCGTCATCGTGTGGGTCGTTCTCATTCATTAATTCACGCACCCATTGCTTTGCTTGCACCTTTGACTGAACGCACACTGCAAACTTGCAATAATGTATCAAGACGCAATAATGTATCAAGGGTCTGTTTGATAATATAAAAAAGCGCTGAATTTGAATTTTTTCAAATATTCAGATGTTTTGAGTATTTGATAAATAAAAATCTATTTGCTGAACTTGTTAAACAGTGCTGAACTTGTGTGTATTTTTTTCAGCACAAGAATCCTAACTGAATGTTTAATTCTGATAAGAATTAATAGAATTACTTCAGCTACCTTATCTTATCTATCAAATCTACCATTGTTTGTTAATTATGTTCAAAATTCTTATCTAATTAAACAACATAATATTCTCTATCTACCGATTTTTAGTTTCTCTTTTCTCCCTTTTTAATGACTTTCACATCTTCTCCATACTCCTCATATAATATATTTCATATTTTATATTAATTTGATTTAAAAATAAATATTATCATTTTCATATCTAACAATTTTAAACTAATTAAATCATAAATTCTATTTTTTTTTTGAATGAAATGATATAAGGGCAAATTTGTCAAGTTAAACTTATTGAGCATTCAGTTATAAATATTTATCAAACAGTCTAAATAGGTTTAGCATTAAAATTCAGACATTCATCTATTTTTTTCAGTGCTTAAAATTCAGCAAATTAATTGTTTCAGTATTCAGAATTCAGAATTCAAATTCAATTTTAAACGGAACCTAAGACTCTTTTTTTTTTTGTGGATTTACTGATTTAGTAAATAATACTACTACTATTAAGACTATGTTATTACTTCAAAGATCTAGCGTAGTATTACAAAGATACTCGATGTGCATTTGATAAAACTTAAATCTAAATTTTGAAATTTAAATCCATTAAATTATTAAATTGTTAAGTATTAAATTTAATACATTTGAGTGCATATCACATTCAGTGACAAGTGAATAGCTTATCACTTAATTTTGAGATCAAGTTTTATTTAGAAAATTCAGTGGTACTTAATTAATTCATATGTTTAATTTTTAATTATCAAACGGTCTAAATATGTTAAGATTTGAATCCATTAATTTAAATGCTGAATTGAGTTATCAAACAGAACCTCACTCCACAGAAGTAAAACTTGTGAACAACTCCAGGGTCAGGAACGCAATTGAAACCATATCCATCTACAAGAAGTGGTTCTGGAAGAAATCTCATCTACTACTACGTGTACATTTTATCACACTAGTGGATGAAATTTGGATAGGAAGGCTTGAAGTTTCTATTACGTGTAAACAGGGAAATCTATGATTCCAAAAAAAAAAAAAAAGGAAAAATAAAGACCAATAATAGTGACAAATACTATTTTGAAGTTTTAAAGTATTACTGCTGCCCAATTACTAACCGGATCATTGGACTCCCTAAGGTCGTTGACACATCAGCAAACTACCGCCTCTGCCTCTTACGTTGTAAGAGACCAATCAGTAATTTTGCATTTAGCAGTTTACAGAAAAAAGAAAAAAAAAATCAAACTCCTCGTTTTTATTGTCTCGATTCGTTTGTCGTTCTATGAAAATTCAACTCTATTAAAAATAATCTTCTTTTGATTATAATGTTAAAGCTTTTCTTTCCAATTTAGCATGATAAATATTTTTGGACACATTAAGTAGGACGACGGATGGAGTAATAGTTTATGAAAAACTTACCCCGGCCCAAAAGAGAGGGGCCAAAAAATAAAAAATAAAAATAAAGGTTGACTCTCTTGGCAATTGGCATGTTGTAAGGGCTGCTTGCGTTGTCAAATGTAGAGAATCAGTGCCTCCCGTCGGAGTCAGCCGCCGAGACTCAGTCAAACCCACAAGCTTTGACCAAACCAAAAAATTTTCCACGGTCAAAACTCTTTTAAGCTTCTCGGAAGGTAGCGGGGAAGAAACTCTGACAATACTACTAAATCTTATTGCCACAACTATTATTGTTATTCTGCTAATCCCTCAGAGGCAGATCGTATTGCGAACGAGAACTGGTCCGAACTACAAAAGCAAGCAAGCAGGCAGCCGTTGTTGGTCATTTGTTTGCCTGCTCCACCCCCCTCCCTTCTCTCCCAAATATTTGTACCAGCTTCTCTTCTCTGCGGAGTTGTCGTCCCTCGCCTCGCCTGAACGTACTCATAGATCATTTTACAGTTGCCTGCCATATATTTATCTCTTCTCCGCCATTAGTATTCTGTCTGTGTCTGTTCCATCCCAGGTGCTACTGTAATCCTCCCTTCAATATTTAACAATAAAATGGCTTCTTCAGGCGGCAGCTTAAATACTTCTCTTAATTCATATTCCAGCTATTCTTTTCCAAACCAATTCATGGCGACTTCTTTTAGCGATCTTATTAATGGTAATAATACTAGCACCAGTGGTAACGACCAGGGCATGATGAACAACAGGTCTAACCAAGACAAGCCTCCTTTTAGTTGGGAGCTTCATGACCAAATGATCAACAAGCAAGCTGGCACCACCCCTGCTGAAATCCCAAAGTTCAAGTCATTCCCACCTACTTCTCTCCCACTCTCCCCACCTCCAGTTTCCCCTTCATCATTTCTTGCTTTTCCTCCGAGTTTAAGCCCTTCGGTTCTCTTGGACTCCCCGGTTCTCTTTTCCAATTCCAGCGTAAGTTTACGGATCAAAATTTTTTTTTGTTGTATGTGCTTCTCGGGATGGATGCATAGATATACGAGCTAGGATTACGTCCTAATGATGTTCCTTCTTTCCCTTGTGCAGACTCTTCCCTCTCCAACAACTGGGACTTTTTCCAGCTTGGTCCGGAAGGATGAGGACACCAAATTCGTTTCTGATTTCTCTTTCCAATCCCAGACGAGGCCTCCACTTTCTTCGTCATCCTTGTTTCATGCTTCTGCGGGCAAATCCTCATCGGTATGCTCCATTCTCCATTCATTTTGTACTTTTCCGCTAGCGTTTTATTTGATTTTAAAAAGTTGTCATTAAAATCAAACAGACTTTTTACTTAGTTTTTTTTTTTTTTTAAATGTTTTCCTATTGCTTAATTTGTGATGTATTATTCCTTAGAGGCTTTTCCAAAAATTGTCCTATCTACCTTTTGAAGGTGTAGAGTACACTTCAGAAAAGTAACTACTTA